GTGATGGGGTCTCCAGAATTTTGAGGGCAGCAAGAAAGCAGGATGGATCCTGGGCAGCACAGGAATAGGTGTGTGCCTTTCTGGTTTGCAAGTGCTGCCAGGATCACTTCAAGGAAGGCTATGCAGGCACTTCCTGCCTTGGATGGATCTCAGGTTACACAACAGAAGAAGGATGCTTTCTTTGCTGCCACCCATCCAGATCTATCCAAGATGCACTGCCAAGGAACTCCTTCTGCCTTGGATGATCCTGGGCAGCATGAGAGGAGTAAACATAAGAAGGCAGCTAAACTGTTGACAGGGGTTAAGCATCTTAGAAGCATTACCCTAAATTTAAGAGAGTTTCCCTGGTTTACAATTTGCTTCTATGTTCAACTCAAGGTGCTGGAATTAACTTCTAAAGCATTTCATTACCTGGTTGAGACCCTTGTGTCTGTGGGACCATCTCCACCCATATGTGCCCTCAAGGCAGCTCCAACCATCAGATCAGATTATTAGTAGTTTCTCCACTCAAATAAGTGAGACTGCAGTTATCTACTTGGGTGCTGGCATTCTTGGCGGCAACTCCTGAGTTACCGACAGGCTTTCTGAGGATGTGAGGAAAGTCCCAACTTGACAGACATTTCAGAGGTTCTGTAAAGTAAAGCTTTTCCACTGTACTTTTGATCGTTTGTGAGAGGAGGTTACAGTCTGCTTCTTTTAAGGTATATTTCTTTTGAAGTGAGATTGTAGTCAGTGTTAATTTAAACCACATTTAAATCCATTTACTTTTAATTTGCAGCCACACCCTCATTGACAAGGTTAGGTAATTGTCAGCAATACACATTTCAGAACTGAGTCTGTTACTGTGTATTTCCACCACAAAGATTGTTAGACAAAGTGGCTGGCTAATGATTCAAAACCAGGACCACAGATTGCCACTACCTTATAAAGACATGTGGTGGCAGCAGAGAACAAGAGGTACTTGAAGTAAAGAGAACAAAGTTTGAATTCAGTGGCACCTTTAAGACCAACAAAGTTTAATTCAAGGTATAACTTTCATGTGCAAGCACACTTCTTCAGATACAGACAACAGAATCTCTTCAGACATTACATATAGGGGGTGGGGGGTGGTTGTCAGGAGGACCAGTTAGAGTCAAGATGTATAAGAACTGGGTGATTGTAGCTGAGATTGAATTCAGGCAAGATTAGTATGCAAATACAAATGTTAATATGTAGATGTAAGAATGATGTTTGAGTCCAGTGGCACCAGCAAGGCAGACAAAGCTCAATACTGGGTACGAGCGAGAACTCCTTCGATTCAATGAAACAGATTTCCTCAGATATAACAGGTGTGCGTGGGGGATTTCAGCCATGAAGATGTGAATTGGTTCTTACAGCAAGTCTGCATGCTAACTGGAATTCTCTGCTGAAGGTTCAGGATTTCATGCTGCAACTATTGAGTGAGGTCCGGCTGCTGTAGAAAATCTTGTAAATATAGATCCTACATGACTGTGTGTCAGACTCAGGCCTTTTGAATGGCTATACCTGATGTATTTCAACCGAGTGTAGTCAAAACTGTTATGTTTCTACCCAACATAATCATGCCCTGTGTATCCCGTCTACTCCCTGCTCCTAACCATTTGATCTTCTTTGTGGTCTCTGTGCATCACACCCATGGGATTATGCGCCTGTATTGATCCGAATCGGTGGTATACAAAGCTCACAACGGGATTTTCGCGCCTCCCTCACTGCGCATGCTCAAAGAGGTGGGGAGGTGACACCCTGCCAGTTCTCTTCTGACCGCCGCGCTGTTAACAGCTTGTTTCTGCCGGTCGGTGAAGAAGCATTTGTTTATCTCACAAGGGATTTCTAAATCCGTTTTTCTTAACTTTAAAGACTTTTTAAAAAATTGAGGGTCGCCGTTACCTCACAGCTTCCCACCCCCCCACCCCGAGGTAAATTTTCTTCACCTCACCTGAGGGCTCCTTTCTTTTTGTGCCGTTCTGTATTTTTTATGGCCAAAAAGTGGGGGTGTTTTAAACGGTGTGTCGGCTGCGGCAGTAAACTTGCCCTCAGTGACAGCCACACACTGTGTATTCTCTGCCTTGGAGAAACCCATCGTCTGGAGACTTGTCGCCAGTGCTTGAAGTTCTCCAATCCGACCCATAAAAACAGGGCCACGAGACTTTGGGTGGCACTTTGGGAGTCCGCATTGGCTCCGTTGCTGGGCAAAAAGATGTCTGCTGAGACCCCATCAGACTCTTAACCGACGGCGCCTCCATCAACATCGGATGACACTTCGACATCAGTCCCACTGCACCATTCTAAATTGGCATCCGATGTGGGGCTGTCTTCATCCAAATGCTCAGCTATGAACGAGGCTTCCTCCTGCCTCAACGCTCGCTAAGAAAAAGAAGAGGGATAAGCACAATACAGAGAAGTCTCTGAAGTCTTATCTTAAAAAGACCGCGCATAAGTCTCACGATCAGAGTGGCGTTGGCGTGCAAATGGGCTCTGCATTACCCCCTCCTACGCGGGCGCAACCCAATATCGATAACCCTCCTGTGCTCGAGCTGCCTGGGATGCAACAACTACCTCCAACTGAGATGCTGGACTCGCCCATTTGGCAGCCAAACCCCCCAGTATCGGAGGTCTCTATGGACACTAGACCCATTTCCAGAGTTGATTAGGTCATCCCACACCGATCTCAGAGAGATCGTTCTCCGTCAGCATCATCGTGGGCTAGCGATCGATCTAGACCGGACTCTTGTTACCATTGTACTCGATCTAGATCCCCTCGGCATGGGGAACATCGATATCGATCAGAGGAGTGTTCTGAATACGGTTGTTCCAGATCCAGGCTCTCCTATTCGCCCAGGCGGGAGTTAAGACCGCACTCCCTGACCTACTTTGAACCACTTGTCCCGCCTCCGTGGGGCCATCAGCAGCACATGCCTTATTGGTTCAGCTCATATCCAGTCTCGACATCAATGCCATGGCTGACACCGAGGCAACAGTCGGACTGGGATCGTGGGTCACGTCGTTCACGTTCTCCCCAATGTAAATCCAAGCCTTCCACGTCTCTCTCTAAACCTCCGGAAGAACCTCATTGCCTGCCCTCTCCTTTCCATTCCGCCCCTGCTTTACCATCGCAGACCACACCGATATTGGACACGACTACCCGAAGGGCTGATGTATCCTTGTTACCGACACTGGAGTCGCCTTCCGGATCCTCCAACTCCAATTCTGGTGCTGAGGACTCAGATGGGCCCAGTTCAACAGGGGGTCCTTCACCCAAGCCTACGGTGTCTGACGACCTTCCGATCTCACCTTCAGAAGACCTTTCTTCATACGGAGATTTGGTCAAAAGAATGGCACATTCCTTAGGGCTGTCGATCGTCCAACCCCAACCGTAAGTGTCGGACGCTGTCTTCAATGTCGTGCAACTCGACACCTCTACAGCAGTTGCCATCCCCATATCGACCATCCTTCTCCAGGCAGCAAAGACACCATGGGATAAACCATCCTCTGCCCCTGTGTCTTCCAGGTGCCTGGATCAAATGTACAAGGTCCAGGAGGCGGCGGCTGAATTTCTCCACATCCATCCTAGACCAAATTCCATGGTCGTGTCCTCTTCTGCTAAGAGTAAAAATACCCATGCTACACCTTCTGATAAGGAGGGGGGAAAGTTGGATTCATTTGGCCAATGTTTTTATTCAGCTGGAGCTCTAGGAATTAAAATGTCGAATTATATTGCTTGCATGGGCCATTATGAATACTTGCGCTTTACCGATCTCTTGACCTCAGTACCCGATGACAAATGTCAAGAGGCCAGGAAGTTGCAGAAGGAAGGGTTGTTACTTTCTAAGCAAATTATCAATTCTTCCAAACATGCTTTGGACACGTTCTCCAAGACGATGTCTTCCACAGTTGCCCTCCATAGGCACTCCTGGCTTAGGACCACCTAACTTCCTACCGACACTAGGGCATACATAGAGGACTTACCTTTTGATGGACAAGGTCTCTTTCATGCTTCGACAGATTCGGCCTTACAAGACATAGACAAGAGCATTAAAGTGTCGTGGTCGTTGGGGGTCTCTGCCCCTTCTAAACCTTTCAGACCCCGCTCTTGGTCATGTTACAGCTCTAGGCGCCAGTACACTAACCATCACCAGAGGGAGGCTATAGGCCACATCAGTCCCCTTCTGGGAATAGACAGCAATATCAATCTAGACAACGATATGGCTCTGAACAGCAACATGTCAGACCGAAACCACCCAAACCCACCAAACAGGACCTTTGACTTCCGCCTGTCTACCTCTTCCGACTCTACCCGCCTCCATCCCTATCTACATGCCTGGACCACCATTACGTCGGACCAATGGGTCCTTTCCATCTTGACCAGTGGTTATTCCATCGAATTTCTGGAATTCACACCTCTCCCTGTAGTCATCATCACGCCCCCATCGTCATTCCTCCTCAAAAAAGTTGCCACGCTTCTATCGAAGGGTGCCATAGAACCTGTGCCTCTAGACCACCAGGGCCTTGGTTTTTATTCCCGGTACTTCATGGTACCCAAAAGGGATGGTAGGCAGAGGTCGATCTAAGACCTTTGTGGCCTCAACACCTATATACGATACTGGAAATTCAAGATGACATCTGTACTGGTCATTCCACCTCTCCCATGTCCAAGGGTTTCTAGATGGTCACTCTCAACCTCGAGGATGCCTATTTCCATTTGACCATCCACCCCTCCCATCAAAAATACCTCCAATTTGCGATAGGAGGCAGCCACTACCAATACAGGAGTCTACTGTTTGGCCTCAGCACGGCACTGCGGGTCTTCACTAAGATGATGGTGGTTGTTGTGGCTTCTGGTCGCGCCTTCCAGGGCCCTTCCCATACAGCATGTATCCCAGGCCCTCGATGTCCTTTGTTGCCTTGGTCTCTGGGTCAACCACAAAAAGTCGCAGTTGGTTCCGTCTCAGAGAGTGCAGTTCATAGGGGCAATACTCGACTCCATGGAAGGCAAAGCTTTCCTGTCCCGGGACAGAGCCCTCACTCTAGCCGCCCTTGCAGAACAGGTTCGGCTACACGACACGTCGTCTGCTTTCCACATTCAGCGCCTTCTGGGCCTCATGGCAGCTACGACTGCAGTCCTTCGCTTCGCAAGACTGCAAATGCATCCACTTCAGCTCTGGTTCCACGAGGTCCACAAATTCATACTAACAGCTTATTGTGGTAAGAAATATTGAAAGATGGAAGTGTTTGGGTTTAAAATGAACAAAATAGCTTATGAAATCCACATATGTATATCTGCCTCTGCTCTTGCTAGCAAAACTGGCTTGACCTTTCTTTCACTGATGATGTAACACATTCAAATTGTCAGGAAGTTCCCAGGGAAGCTCCACAGATGTGAAACTTGCCAATAACCCCAATTTCCCAGGCCATAAAATATATGACCATTTGGGAAATTGGCAGACTCCAACCCGGCTTTCATCTCTCTCTGATAACATCAAAACACAGTGTATTTCCCATGATTGGGAAACACCTGGACAACACGCTGTATTGATCCTTTGGAATGTGACCTTTCGTTGTGTGAGACCAAGGGAGGGAAACCACTTTCCTCAAAGACAAATTCAATTTCTAAGTGTTAAATTTTAACTGCAATCCAATTATTAAGGGATCCCTTTGATCTCTGGTATAAATATGGGTGGTTCACAACAGACTTCAGCTGAATCCGAAAGGATTCAGTTAGAGAGGGCCTCTCGAGCGCATGCATGGGGTGGGGAAAACTCTGCTGAATGTTTATTTCTGTGTGTATTCTATCAATGTTTAGGAAACTAGGGACTCTGAATGTTTTTCTATAATAAAGATAAGTTTTATTTTAAGAAGAGACTAGTGAATTCCAAGCTTGCACTTCTGCCTTTGGTAAGGGGCAACACTCAGGAGACACACACGAACTGAGGGGGAGGGAATGTGGGTGACATGGGTAAACACGCTTTTACAAACACGTGCCAC